CTTTACTTAAAATGTTAGAAGATCTAGATTTAGATGTTTCTTTTTTTTTTTTTTTAACAATTTTATTTATTTGAGAGAGAGAGAGAGCACGAGAGCAAGAGAGAGAGATTGAGAGAATGAGGGTGGTAGGGGCAGAGGGAGAAGCAGACTCCCTGCAGAGCAGCGAGCCCGACAATGCAGGACTTGATCCCAGGATCCTGGGATCATGACCTGAGCCAAAGGCAGATGCTTAACCAACTGAGCCACCCAGGCGCCCTAGATGTTTCAATTTAGATTTTTGGGTCCAAAAGCCAGTGCCCGATTGTGTATCAGAAGTGAGGAAAGGGACAGGTTAGAAAATGGCAACATTTCTGGCCCTCTTTGACGGATGCAAAAAAGTATCACTGATGAAAAGAACATAAGGAAAGTAGGATGAAGGTATATTTTCAGAAGAAGGGAAAGTTACATTTGGTTTGAGCCTCACTGCATTTAAAGTGACAGATGATATTCAAGCAAAAATCTCCTTTTGGTTGCAAAAAAACCCCCAGGAAGTGCCTCCTCAAGAGAAAGGGATTTGGGAATTAGTTAAAATAAAGATAGCAGCTGAAGCTCAATGAGTGGATGACTCATAAAAACTCAGTTCAGAGGGTCAATGACTGAGCACTAAGGGAATCCCCAAAGACAAGAATCAAAGTAAGAAATATAAAATATATTACAGTTAAAAGAGCCTGCAGGGGCGCCTGGGTGACTCAGTCGGTTGGGCGTCTGCCTTTGGCTCGGGTCATGGTCTCAGGGTCCTGGGATCGAGCCCCGCATCGGGCTCCCTGCGTGGCGGGGAGCCTGCTTCTCCCTCTCCCACTCCCCCTGTTTGTGTTCCCTCTCTCACTGTGTTTCTCTCTGTCAAATAAATAAAATCTTAAAAAAAAAAAAAAAAAAAAGAGGGCACAAATCTATCATCCTCCAGTGATTAAAATGGAGCTATGACAAGATATTCCAAGATGTCTGTCTCCCAGATCCTAGGAATTTGGGTTTTTAAGTTGCACAGGGGTTCTCTGCCGCCTCACCGTCTGTGTGGTGAGTTAAGCTGACGGTAAGAGTAGGGCACTTATGAGGCAAAGGTCAGACACCAAACCTCGCCTGGGCTCATCAACTTGTACTGCTCTTTGGTCATGGTCTCCAAGCCCTGCCTTCCTCAACCTGCTGTCATAGGCCTGACCTCATTCACAGGGATCCGAGGGTCAGTTCCTAAAAGAGTTCACACAAACCCACTATCATTGCTGAAAAAGTCACTTGAAGGTCAGGATCTCTGGACAGTCATTGGCATCATCTCTACAAAGGACAGTCTCATCTATGACATTAAGGTTCATTTACAGACAGACCCACTCTTGTCGTCAACTGGGCCTCTTTGGAGCCCTCCTACTTTACACTTGGCTCAGTTCTTGCAGGCAACCCCTCCTCTGTCCCAGGCCAGTCTGAAAGGGGAGGATGAGCCCACTACATGAGAAAAAAACCTGGGAAGGTCCTAGAAATAATTCAGGAAGAGGCCCTCCAGTAATGTCTAAGGAGGAACTGACTGAGGACCTTTCACTGGTGACCAGGGAGAGCCCTACGCTGGAGCTGCTGTCTCCACAGAGGCACGCTGTCCACGGGCTGACAGAGGCGTGGTACTTGCCCTCACACACACACACCCTACAAATTCCACCTTCATATCTGAGTGGGGAGCACTGGAGATGAATATACCTCCCCAAAAGCTTTCTCCTGAGCCCCGGAAGCAGTGCACACCAAGACACAGAGGATTGCCTTTCAAGCAGTTGAGCTTAGCCTCCCGAGTGTGAATTCCTTCTGACAGAACCTTACAGTTTTATTTCTGGCTCAGTAACACACCCTCGACCTCTGATGTGAACATAATGAAGTTCCATTTTCAAACCTAAAAAACAGATTTTCATATTTGGTTCTCAAAACCTTGCTAGCACCCCTATTTTTAACTGGAATGCATTTTAGTGACAATGCATAACATGCAGCAGATAAGCTCCTGGAAACCTCGATGCATTCAAAGGAGAAAAATACTTAAACCATTTGTTTCTTGGAGCAGGAAAGAAAAGCATACACTTTCCTTATAGGGGGTAAAAGGGAGAAATAATGAAATTTACATACCAGTTTTTCAAAATTGACAAGATTATCCAAAAATGTTTTATTTCCTTCATGAATAAATGTTACATCTGAAAATTAAAAACAAAAAGATATATGTGCTGTTAGGAATGGATCATGAGTCAGGGCTAAGAAGGTCTAGATGCAGTGCAACTTATTAATTTTTCTTAAACATTGTGCATTATTCCACAATTTGACAAGGCAAACTGAAATTGAATCTGTATGGTATTTGATGTGAAAAGGCATAATTTATGTGTCTGTGTGGGAAGATAACATAAATGCAATGATATATTTTGTACTTACGGTGAAGTGCTTGACTTCAACTTAACCATTATAACTTAACCAGTCCACTATGTTTTTAGGCCAGAACATTGAGCAGAAAAGAACTAAATAGCCAGAAACAAAAGAATTTTAATATCTATGTGTTTGCTTTTTAACAATTCCTGGCAAAGTGTATGGGGCCTGCTTTACTTAAAATGTTAGAAGATCTAGATTTAGATGTTTCTTTTTTTTTTTTTAACAATTTTATTTATTTGAGAGAGAGAGAGAGCACGAGAGCAAGAGAGAGAGATTGAGAGAATGAGGGTGGTAGGGGCAGAGGGAGAAGCAGACTCCCTGCAGAGCAGCGAGCCCGACAATGCAGGACTTGATCCCAGGATCCTGGGATCATGACCTGAGCCAAAGGCAGATGCTTAACCAACTGAGCCACCCAGGCGCCCTAGATGTTTCAATTTAGATTTTTGGGTCCAAAAGCCAGTGCCCGATTGTGTATCAGAAGTGAGGAAAGGGACAGGTTAGAAAATGGCAACATTTCTGGCCCTCTTTGACGGATGCAAAAAAGTATCACTGATGAAAAGAACATAAGGAAAGTAGGATGAAGGTATATTTTCAGAAGAAGGGAAAGTTACATTTGGTTTGAGCCTCACTGCATTTAAAGTGACAGATGATATTCAAGCAAAAATCTCCTTTTGGTTGCAAAAAAACCCCCAGGAAGTGCCTCCTCAAGAGAAAGGGATTTGGGAATTAGTTAAAATAAAGATAGCAGCTGAAGCTCAATGAGTGGATGACTCATAAAAACTCAGTTCAGAGGGTCAATGACTGAGCACTAAGGGAATCCCCAAAGACAAGAATCAAAGTAAGAAATATAAAATATATTACAGTTAAAAGAGCCTGCAGGGGCGCCTGGGTGACTCAGTCGGTTGGGCGTCTGCCTTTGGCTCGGGTCATGGTCTCAGGGTCCTGGGATCGAGCCCCGCATCGGGCTCCCTGCGTGGCGGGGAGTCTGCTTCTCCCTCTGACCCTCCCCCCATCTCATGTGCTTTCTCTCTGTCAAATAAATAAATAAAATCTTAAAAAAAAAAAAAAAGCCTGCAAATAATGTTAGATCACAAACATGGAGAGCAAACCAAATGAAAATTATCTTGTTAAAGTAACCTGACATAAAAGAGGGAAAAGAACAGGTTTAGATGCCTATAAATAGAAAGGGAAAGCATTTATATCTAATCAAGACTTTCAATCTGCTGGTCCCTATGGGGCAATTATGAGCTAGGTGCTCCGGAAACCTGCCTCGGATGCGTTTGGCCGCTGAGCTCTGACAGCCCACCAGGGGGCGACACGAGTTACATAGTTACAGGATATCCTGCTACAAACCTTTCCTCAAGGCATCCCTTACAGCTTCCAGTACTGCAAAGTTTTCCTGAGATTTTTTCCCCCTTCTTTTAAACTGATGTTCTAACAGGAAAACAATTCACAATTACATGATCATCTGACAAACTCTCTGATTATTTTATTATCTTTCATGACTTTGCTTTCAGAAAAGAACTACAAGCTTTCATTCTGTGTCACCATATTTAGAAGGGAGTAGTCCTGGGGCACCTGGCTGGCTCAGTCAAAAGGGCATGCAACTCTTGACCTTAGCGTTTTAAGTTTGAGCCCCACGTTGTGTGAAAAGATTACTTAAAAAATAAAACCCTGGGGTGCCTGGGTGGCTCAATTGGTTAAGCACCAGACTTGGTTTCAGCTGAGGTCATGATCTCAGGATGCTGAGATGGAGTCCCACATCGGTCTCCCTGCCCAGGGTGTAGTCTGCTTCAGGATTCTCTCTCTCCCGCTGCCCCTCCCCCAACTTGTGCACACATTCTCTCTAAAATAAATAAATCTTTTTAAAAAATCTTAGAGAGTAGTCGACCCAGTTAGCTCTTACCTTTTTTTGTGTGGCAAATAGCACTGTGTGCACTCTATCTACATCACACACCACACACCACCTAAAAGCCTAGTCTCCCTTAACTCCCTGAGACCTCAGGTTACAAACGCCATCTCTGAGTCCCTTGGTCCATTTCCCCGGTGTTACATCATTGTCATCCTCTCCCTGTGTTCCCATGGATAATGATGAGGGGTCACAGCAACAATGGCACTCATCTTTATTAACAGCATTAGACACAGCATTAACAAAAGACTGTAAGGTATAGCCCTAGCAGGACAGAATGTGAAGAAATTGTGGGCCAAAGAACACGTAGCTGGCCCATGATCATGGCTCTCCTTGTCCCAGCCAGGATTCAAACCCAGGGAGCCTGGTTCCCCTCACCACTGTGTCTCTCTGGGAGCTCAAGCTAAATAGACTTGGGCATGTCTTACAACCCGTCATAGTCGCCTTGCCAGATTTATGGCACATGGAGTGTGTCTGCAATTTTTCAAGTTTCCTTGGTGGCTCCCTCTCTTCTCTCCAGTCTGAGGTCTCTTCTCTTCTTGGGTGGTGTCCCTTAACCCCAACCCTCAGGGGCTTGGAGGTCAGGCTGATGCTGGCATGAGAATAGAGCAAGGAAGGTGCTTTCAGCCAGGTGGGAAGGAGAGAGAGGCTGGAAGGGGCTGCCACCCAAAAGGGGGCTCAAGGGGCTGAAGGTTTTGATGCAGGTGAATGGCAGGTGTGTGAAGAGGAAGGTGTGAGAGAGATAAACCAATAAATGGAAGGAAGGGAGGGAGGGGGCGAGAGAGAGAGGAAAGAAAGAAAAGAAGAGAAGAGAAGAGAAGAGAAAAGAAAAGAAAAAAGAGACAGAGAAAGAAAGAGAGGGAGAAACCTGGGATCTCAGAACTTAAAGCCCTGGGCTGTGAAACAGTTCAGGGTACCCACCAGGCTGAGTGTGGGAAATGAGCACTGTTCATCTGGAGACACCTGAACACTCTCCAAACACTTCATATAATAGAACCACTGGATGAAACGACTCCATCTGGAGATGGCAAGTAAAAGAGGAGGAAGAAATATACAAGCACCTAATATTCCTTTTATTTAAATGCCCCTGCAAATCTGCGGTAATCATCTCATCTCTGAGATACACACACAATCCACCAGAGGACCTCGGTTCATCTTCACACACCTGTTGATATTCACTCTGTTGGGAAGGACTACCATCTTCAAAAACACTGCATGGTACAGACTGTTTGGCTGCTTCTGACTTTAGCTCAGCTGGATCCTTTTCCCTACACTTATTTAGGGTTTTCCATTCATCTGCTTTCTGAACGGATTCCATACCACAGTAGGGGGGAAACTAAATCAAAAGGCAAGAATTCAACTGGGAAACAGGAAAACTAATGCTGGAAGGATCCTCAGGTTAAGAACTCACTTGATAATCTTATGCTTACTGGGAACTGACCAGCTCACAAAAATGAAACATGAGAGGCCTAATCCTTCTTAACACCCAAAGAGTTCAATTTGGTCCTTTTTCTCTAACTAACAGTAACCCAAAATGGGAGGCACAAGGGAGAGGGGGGCGAGTTTTCACTAAAAGGTTCGTTGCTCTAAAGTAGTTTATTGCAACTTTAAAAAATTTTTGCAATTAAAAAACCCCAAAATTAATACTGTTTATTTTTTCCAAAATGTTTTGTTTCAGGCATGATATATACATATTTTAAATCTTCACCCGATATTCCTTTGGAGATTATTTCAGACAAAAACAATAATTTTAAATACAATATAAAGTGCTAACTGTGTTTATTTTTATAATGACAAAATATTTAAAAAGGAAAACTAAGTGCTTAAACTCAAGAAAGCTTCTAATGAAAAAAAGAAATAATGTTTAACTTACTAGAGTGAATGTATTTTCAGTAGAAAAAAAAGGAAATTTGTTTTGCTGCCAACAAAGAGGTCTAGATAAACTCAGTAAAGCAGAAAATTGCATCCAAGCTAAGATGTGTGAGACACTTGACTGCATTAAATATTTTTTGGGGAAAATCACAAATGTACAGCAAAAAGCACTGCTCATATCTAATTAAGCTAAAGGGACATTGTCAACTAATTTCTCATTACCTTAAAACTTTTCTTTCAAAATTTTTTTCTGCTTAAAATCAATTCCTTTCCCAGATCTGTCTTCATTTCCTATGTTTCCTATTTGTGTCTAAAAGATTCTAAATGTTACTTCCCACCTGCCACCCCCACTCTCCAGTTGAGGATGTTGTTTTATTTTGCAAATAAAAATCAGAAGCCTGAATAAACTTTTAAATTGTTATTTTGGCATTACAATCTCTCCCTATTCCATCCATTTACATTTAGCAGAATCTTTTCAGCTGGCATGAAGCATCTGCATGCCTCAGTGGTGTTAATAGAGTATTGTTTCAGGAAGATTCTTGCTTCTTTACTAGATGCAGAATGGATGAGAGGCTGTCCGGATCACAGCAACTCGGTAATTCTGTAAGCTCAGGCTGTTCTAGGGAGAAGCCAAGGAGGGAATATCAGCATCATTGCCAGTGGGGGTAGCGATGGGGGCGGGGTGGGCTGGGAGGAGAATGGCCCTGCCATCCAGCAATCCAGTTCCCGGGCAGCTCATTTCCAGAATCACATTTATGAGTCCAGTTATTGGGGCCAGACCCAGCAGAAATTACAAGCCTCTGAAGGGCGGAGGCTATATAAAAAAGTCTTCCTATAAAATCCCTTGGAAAGAATCAAAATATAGCCAAGAAAAATGACCAAATCCCTTTTTCCTGGAAAGCACATAGGTAGGATATATACTGAATGTTAGCACAGGCCAGATTCAAAAGAACTTCCTTATAATGAACCCTCTTGGTTTGAAAGAGACCACTGAGATCTCATTAGCAAATTTAACTAACATGTTTCAGGATAAATTATTTGGTGCTCTACAGAAGAGAAGTCAGTGGACCAGCTTGCAGCCCTCACATACTTTACCAAATGGATGCCACTCCTGGAAAGACAGTACATTCTCCACCAATAATTTTCATAAACTATATTGCTAGGATTGACCATAGGTATGTCTCTCTCGCACACCAGCAGCCTGGCAGTTAGCTCTTGGAAATATAAGTTGCAAACACAGAGTATGATCTCTGTTTGGGTTCTTTCTCTCAGCCCTCTTCTTAGTTGAATTAAGTGGAGGGTCAACTCCAAGAAAATAAGACTGCACTTAGAAGCAGAGCAAACTAAAAACACAAGTTTCCAGTGCCAAGTTCTGTGAGTCAGGTGAAAATGCTTTGGTATCTCTCAAATACAATTAAGTATTTCAGCTACCTCAGATATAACGGAGCATTTGAAAACCGATAGCAGGCAAATGTGGTTAGGTTTGAATGTCAAAAGTACTCTAAAGAAATATACCAAGTCTCTCTCTCTCTTTTTTTTTTTTTTTAGCCCTGTACAGTTACAGTGATACATTTCTGCAGATGGAACTGGACAGCATATAGAAAATTGTTACCTTTAAGCAACAGGGGCATGAATGGGATTTTGGGTGGTTTCATCTTTTTGAATGCATCTCTGTAGGCTTTGTGATTCAGGGAAGGATCCTGCCAAACCAAGCAGATTACAAAAGAAAGAAAAATCAATGTGCTATAGAAACAATTCTAAATCCACTTTTGCTATACAATTTGAACATGATTTAGATATCAAGAGGTTCTTTCTCAGAACAAAGTAGATAAAGGTTTCCTAGGAGAATATACTCACTAAATTAGGGCAAGAAATGTAGGCAATGAATAAAAGTCAACTTATTAGTTTACAATAATGGGAAATGACTGCAAAAGGGAGGCACCTTTTGATTGCCCTATTATTTTCCTCAAATAGGTTCTTTAAGTACAGTTTCCTCTGCATAATTTCTATCGCGAGTTAACCCCAAAGTCTTTTGTTAGGTACACTGCAAAGAAAAACCTCCCTCATAATGCACGGGCAATACATAGAAAATAAGAGAACACTGTTTTATTGTGTTCCGAAAAGCACCTAGACATTTTAAAAAATCTAAACCTAAGAAAAGGTAGAAAGGAGAAAAAGGAGAAAAGAATCATGCATAAGATATTGACTGCACATTCCATTTATACCAATTAATTTTGTAGACGTTGGAAATGGCCTATATACTTAAAAATCTGCATTCTGGAAATCATGTCAAAAGGACCATTCTCACTACTTTTCTCCATGGAGAGGAAGAAGCATTAACTGCCAACTTCTTCCCTCCATAAGAAGGAAAGCTATAGTTTAATGTACGAGTGATCTACTCTAAGAAGGAAAAGCTATAGTTTAATGTATGAGTGTTCCAGTCTAATGTACTAAGTGCTCTAGACTAGTGGTCTAGTCTAGTCAGACAGGGTGAAGTGTGGGTCCTAGCCACGGCAATCTAGAAAGAAATTCGGCGCTATCAGTTGATTTGAAGAGTAAGTCCCATTTGGCTCACTACTTACTGTTAAACTTTCAAGTTCAGAGAAAAGTTTCTTAAACTTCCCAGGGATTTTCTAAAATCAAACAAACAAAATACAAAGAAGAAAAGGTCAAAGAAGTCTGTTACTTTCAGAGGCACCAAGGGGGGAAAGTTTATTAAGCTGAGCTTCCATGTGTCACGTTTCTGATCACAAACACCTCTATCATTTGATTCTACCCCGATTGCTTCTCACTATGCAATCTTCATCATTCCTTAATGTGACATTCCCTTGGAGTGTTGCTAAAAACAGTTTAAAATAAGTAACGGCCACATGACTCAGGGATCTAGCTGGTTAGACATTCCACACACTGGTGATTTTTCAATACAAACTGGGATTTCAGTTCCATATCCCACTTTTGGCGAATGCTTTCGACTTCTCACAGAGTCTTGCTGAGTGGGAAATAGTAACACTGCTGGCATTTTTTTTTTTTTTTTTTTTTTGCTTAAATGATACAACCGCATTTCACAGCAGAGGGCTAAGTGGTGAAAGGCCATAAAAACCCTGACAGCCTGCACGCCAACGGGTAGGATCGCTGAACTGCAAAGATCTCCCACACCAGCAGGTGGCATGGGAGGAAACTCAGGCCCTTCTGAGTAGTCAGTCAATCTGAATTTGAATTCCCATGCTGCCCCTTTCTAGCTGGGTGGTTTGGGATGAGTCTCCACTTGCCCTCCTGGGGTCCAACGGGAATTGGTTCTGGACCTCCTCCATTACCACATACTCTGTTCTAATTGGTCCGGCCCATTATGGATCAGCCATGGCACGGATGCAGAGCCCTGCACATAGTAGGCCATCCACATGCCCATGTAATGCATGCTGCTTGAGTTGAATTGAATTCTTTCTCCTCTCAGTTTCTGCACCTCAAGGCTTCTTTTGAGGTTTAATCCAAATTCCACTCTCCTCTGACTCTTGCTGGCCATTGCTTTCCCCCTGCTCTGATGGATTGTGGCAATGGTTGTCCACCTCCTTTCATCTTATGATGCACGCGCAGGTCTTGTTTGCTTAACCAGGGCAGGCAGGCCTTTCGTTTCTTTTCTTTTGCACTCCTCTAAGGAGCACTGACCCTGACCCTCAGGTCACCACCATGCATTGCAATGGAGAATGGCCCTTGATGCAAAGAAAGTGAATCCCTAAGATGCTCAGAGCCCTGTGCTGACATCTCATGTAAGAAAAAAAATACTTGGCCTATCTTGCAGGAGTGAGAACTGGAAACCATATACAGAATGGAGTAGTGACAGGAGCTGAAGCTGAGGGGACTGGAGAGAAGCTAAGGAGAGCGCATGAGCCACACGCAGGTCAGGGCCATCAGGGAGCAGCCTTGACGGTGAAAGAGAAAGGCCGAGGGAGAGAAATGGTACTCACAACAAGGTAGCCAGTCAACAGGGAACAGAGAGAAACAAACAAAAGCCCAAAGAAAGAAGGTGATGGGGCCAGGGGGGAGGCCAGAGCCCTCTATCTGTGTCTGGCCACACTCAGGGATGCCCTGGTTTCAGCTCTTCACACATACGCCCTTAGAGTCCATGTCCCAGAGCTTGGGTTAACTTGGGTGGGCCTCTCCATCTGAGAACCCAGGTAGACCCCATCATGCAACAGGGACACAGACAGAACCCAGACTTGGGAGGCCTGAAACATAACACTCTGTGGGCCCTCTTTGAAAAAAAGAATACAAAATTACTTCTGCAAATTTTACAAAGGTATACATCATCCATGTGAACACACTGCCAGGGGGGCCCTGCAAGAGGGAAGGCCTGGAAGCTTACATTCACTAGCATCTCAGCAAATCTGCTTCTGGATACACGTTACCACTTTTGAAAGGACCAACATGGGGCTGGAACCACACAATCAGGGCAGCAGAGCAGAAAAAAAATTCTACCTGTGGAGCATTTTACAATTTTTATCTCTTTCATATATATATGTTATATATATGAAAATATATATAATATATATTTCATGTATTTTATATAAATAATAGAACCATTTTGAAGACCATTTGATCAAAATAGTCCAACCTGACACATTCATTTTTAACTTTTTTTTCCCTAGTAGTATTTATCTCATTTAGACCATCTAAATCAATTTATTTTAAAGAAAGGCCTTTCACTGGAACATTTCCCATTCAGTTTTATTTATCTCTAACCCCCCCCTCCCCTTTCCACATGGACCCCCAAGGCTCACCTCCCAGGTCTGCGACAGCCGGCTGACAGAAGCGGTGTTGAGACCCATCACAATAGCAAAGAAAGAATTCAGGTTTCTCTGGGCTTTGCAGCTACGGAATAAAGAAACCACAAGGTACTTGGAGCAACATCCTTTTGCCAGATGACCACAAAAGATAAAGCTGAAAAGACTCTCCTAGGCCGCAGAGTTCAAAGTCCAAGGCAGCGCTGAAGCTCTGCTCCAAGGCCAACACACACTGAGTGCCCCTGTGTGTGTGTTGGGGGGGGGTGTCCCCTCCACCGTTCCTCACACAGGTGACAGATTCCGAACACTCTGGCTCATTCTTACCTCTAGGAAAAGATCTGTGCTCCAGACGCCCTCTGGACACTTCAAAAGATTCCTCCTTTCAAAAAATCTATTTTGGATGATGCATTTACAATTTCAACTGAAAACTCTTGAATTCACATTTCTTTATATGTAGCATACTCTCATTATGACAGCTCTCTTGCCCCATCTCTGTACTCAGGATGCTGTCATTATGTTTTAACAGACAAGCCCCTCTCACCTCACCCCTCACCAGCCCAAGCTCCCCCTGCCGTGACATTCAGGAGCATTTTCTTTGCTATCAACCATATAGCTACTGTATTATGTATCTATGTAAAATATGGCATGTATTGTGGGGATACTGTCCCATGTTTCTCATTTAGAGAAAAAAAGGCGGAAATAAAGTGCAAAATAAAATCACATAGAGCTCCATTCACTCTGTAAGCTTATCTGTTCTGCATAACGGTCAATCATGCCCTTCAACCTAATTGGTCAAAATTCCACTCATTTTCAAAGCCTGCGGAGGAGGCTTGGTCTCCCAGGTCAGCCAGGACAGCCTGTGGGTTCCAGACACTCCTTCATCTGGGGCGTTTTAAAAAAAACCACTTCTCCAAGCAAAGTTTTTAAAATTAAGAAATTACTCTAACTTGATAAATATGAAGAAATATGAAAGTGCTCAACAGTAAGCCGGGGCATAAAAAGTACCAGCTTGTGCCAGATGCCCCCTCTCTTCCATCGCATCTCCCCCAGGGGATCACATGGAACTTGGGGACAGTGTACGTATAACTCCGAGTCCTGCTTTTTCAATTACCCTGTGTTATAGTGTGTATTATTAATTCTTAATTAATAATGATAATTCTAATCACCATGAATGGCTATATAACTTCATCAAAAACATTTCACGATTTGTTTACTTATTCCCCTATTGTTAACATTTAGGTTATTCTCAATTCAATACAGAATGCTACAATGAGTATCTTTGTGCATAAAACTTTTAATTGGATTTATAGTTCCTTTAATTAAGTGAGACATTCAGTCATTCATAACATGATTGGTCAAAAGCTATCTTGACGTTAAAGGTTCTCAACACATACTAAAAACTGTCCCCCGAAACGGTACGGCTTTCCAGTGGCACAGGCTGTGTATGAAAGTGTCTAGTTCAGAGCCAGGAGAATGGATGGGGCTGCTTCTGGAGTAACACACAGAGCTGGCTGTGCCTGGCAGGTCCTCCCTAAGCGGGCTGCTCCCAGGGCCAGCCTTGGGGGCTGCATACTGCCCAAGTACAGCTGGGCCTGGGCTCCAGGGCAGACAAGGTCCCACCAGAGAGCATGTGGGAAGTTCTGTCCCCATAATAGTGAAAAGGGCAAAGGCACAGCTGCCTCCACACCTAGGGTCCGAAGTATCTGGGGTAGATACCGTCCCGCAGGCCCCTTACCACGGAGCCTCCATGGGCATGGGCTGCGCCTCTCAGAGTCTTCCTTACCCGGTGTCTGGCCCTGCCTGCAGCTCTGGGGTTGGCGAGAGGACCCGAAACTCAGTCTAACTGGCCCCTTCATCTGGTTTCTACCAACTTTCTCCTGGGTGGACGCTGCTGGTATATTCCATGAATGAACACATAAAGATGCCTCTGGGTCAATGATTTAGAAATCGACCTGTTTTTGTAAATTATCGGTGACCAAAGGCATCCATACTTGGCCTCTGCTTCCCTTTCTGTCTCATCACCCCCCTGGAAAGTTCACACCAGCCAGAACAGACGTGAGGCAGCTCCAAGGCTTGGTGTCCTGATTTGAGGTTCCTCTGTGGAAAGGCTCCTGTGGTTGGGAGAACTGTCTCGCCCCTGGGCCACAGGCACTTCTGTGGGAGGTTCTCTCTGACTCTCAGGTCCTCCCACTTACAACATGATGGAAGCCCCTGGTCCTGTAATTCCTCACTAGACTTTAGGTTCCTCACAGCTAGAGGATATATCCATTTCATTTTTATATTCTGCCTGTCACCCAAATACCCAGTATACAGCAAGCCTTTCGGATAGCATTTGCTGGAGTTGAAAACAAGACTTTTTGGGGAAATGGTTTTATTATTCATTATAAAAAGGTTTATTACTCCTCTTTTTATTTGGCATCATTTATCTGTCTGGAATCTCAGAAAGAATTCTCATCTTTTTATCTTTTAGCTCCCATCAACAATTTTCCTGGCCCAGATCTCTTTTGTAGTTATACTTACAATAAAAAAAAAAAAAAAGCACATATAACTAACGTCTGAACCTATAAAAAGAACAAAAATGCTTTCTCTGGAAGACAAATTGATACAGTACAAATATTGGATACCAATCTGGTCAGGAATCCTTTGTTACCAAGGTTCCTTCATTCCATGATAAGAACAGACTGACACTGAAACATTCCAGTTTAGCAAACATTCCTTTGTCTGTGTGAGGGTATAAACTCCCCTCAATCCACAGAGGTGGGGGATGGGGAGGGTGAGAAGGAAGGGAAACATGAATATGCAAATAGATGCCTTAGGCAGGGGAGACACTTCATGATCATGGAAATTACTGTTTTCCCTTGGTTATTCCTACTAGTGTGATTATGAGGAATTTAACTTTATGTTTCTGTTGGCATTCTATTCCATGGGCTAGGGATAGAGAGACCAGTACAGTAAATAATTCAAGAGCATGGGGCCATATGGAGAAGATGTGAATATATTTCATTTCCCTGAGGATAGATATAATCTTATACTGGAACTAAGCTGTGTGGTGTCATTTTACTCCTTGGGACATTAATGTCCCATTTCTCCAAGTAACTGGCATTTATAAGAAAGCTTTTGATCCAAAAGAGCCTCACCTTTATGAATTTCACAGGCCATTTGGAATGCACTGGCCAAAAAAAAAAAAAAAAAAGGAATATTCACCATAAAAACTGTCCAAGATTTAGGAATATCTGTTGTATGTCTCTCCTTCCATTCCCAGTCACACCAAACACCAGGTTGGGTACTTCTATTATCTCTTGCTAGGTAAACAAGATACCCTACCTCTGGGGGGTCTCTTTGCCCATAGTTCAGTCTATGTGCTACCTTCAGATCAACCTTCCTGAGGGACAGCTCTGATCGTGTCAGTCTCCTGCACAAAAATTGCAATGAATCCCTGTCTTCTCAATTCAGCCCAATCTCTTCGATCTGAAATTCAATATCCTTCACAATTTGGTTTTATCTTTCTTTGCAGATTAATTTCCCACAATTTCTGTACAAATAACACTCCATTCTGGTGAAAGTGGATGAGGTTCCTTTCCTGACCATATGCTGTCTGCCTCCACTGAGCCTCTCTGCCTCCCTCCTCCAGTGAGTTTCACCTCCACGGAGGGTACGCACTTCAGAATTCTTATCTGTCCAAGATCCCCCCAGAATTCAAACACAGCCTTGAATGCTACTTGTCTTTGAATCCTCGTTTTCCACATCGTTGGCATACAAGCTTCCCCCTTCCGAATCCCCAGTAGAATTTGATCTCAGAATAAGGCACCCCCTGTTCTATTGTGCACATTAGCCATCTCAGTTATCAAAGTATCCCCCTTCAGCAGGTTGCAAACTTCTCAAAGGCACGGATTGGGTGTAGGGTCAGTCTGGTTTCCCAATGGAAATGCATGGTTCCCTCGCAAGGATCTGTACAAGTAATGAGTGATCAATACATAGTTCATGAACATATTACACTGCTGTATACTCCAAAACTGTTTGATGTAAAAACTATTTTGGAAGACAAAGGAGAAATAAAATGGGAAATAGAAGCAACTGGGAAAGATTCTGATTCATGCTGCCTACTTTTGTTGGGAGGCTGTCCGAAGAGCAGTCTCAGGATACTAATCTGGTATTTTAGGAGATGCTCTCAGCAAGTTACTAAAATGTCATTCAACTAACCTTTACTGAGTCACTGCTATTTACCAAGTTCTGCATCAGGCATATCAGGTTTGATTAGTCAATGTTTGATTAGTAATGGCCCCTGTCCTCTGGAGGCTAACACAGCCAAGTGAAGGGATTCTATATAAACAGAGAAGTTTAATAAATATAATAAAAAAGTTAAAAGGGAAAAAGCACGTGTGTGAGGGAGAGTGGGGGCAGGGAGTAGTTCACCCTGCATCTGAAAGTCAGAGTGGCTTCAGGAAGGAAGCAACCTTTGACCTCGGTCTTAAAGAATGACAGCAATTTGCAAGGTGGAAGTGGTCATTTCGGCAGAGCCAACAACGCCACATCCAGGCCTGGAGGATGGCGTGCATGGGACAGACAACGATTCAGAGGGGCTCTAGCATGGCGTGCACCCGGGGGGGAGAATCCGAGGTCAGATGGGACCAGCCTGGGCTGGGCCTGCAGAGGAATTTGCAAAGTCCACACTGTGGGCATCAAGCAGCCAAGAACAGAATCCTAGAGTGCACCTGATTTGCAATGATTCTCCCCCCTCACATCATCTTCCCGGTTTTCCCTGCCTGCTGTAGCTCACTGGCCACACTGTAGTTCAGCTGCGGGACAGAGCACGTGGGTGCTGGCTGCTTAACCGTCCTGCAGCACGGAGCAGGGGGCTGGAGTCTAGTATTTTGACATTGACTTTAAAGTATAAGCACTTCAAATGCAAAGACGTGAATATTCAAGAACAGACCCTTTTCAATCATTTGGTCACTTAACTCAGTATTCTACTTTTACCTCCTAACCCTTCTTATCATCAAAAGGGGAAAAACTGTACTCTCTCAAGGAGATGAGAGGAATTGCTCTTTTCACCGCCAGGAACTCACTGTGCAGCGATTTTGATGAATTTTTTCACCAGCTGCACTCGCTTGCCCAGCTGGCTGCAGAGCAGGATCTCCGTGGCCACCCAGAGCTGGACTTCATTGCATCTCTGCAGCAGAAGGCTGAGGTTTGCGGTGTGCTCCCCACTGCCTTGTCGGCTGAAGGTGAAGTAGATCAGCTCTTGCTGCAAGAAGATGGATTCACACCAGCATTTATTTTTAGCACAGAGACAAGCTGATAAAAAAGTCAGTCCATTTTTAAGAGCTGCCTCAGTTAGCCATTCTCACAATGTGTCATGAGAATAGAATAGATTCAATTTGAAACAATGTGGTTTTAGAGATGCCTTATTAAATAATGTTCACCTAGAATCCTCAGAAAAATTTTATTTTAGAATGTGCAGATGACACGTGGGTTTTACACAAAAATCTAAGAAGTTCTAAAGTTTAAATCACAGGCTCAATCAAATCCAAACTTCCTGAACTTGTTACACCGGCAAAAACAAGTAGAAATGATTGTCACTAGTACAGGGAGATTCTTTTGACAAGGGTTCTCAAATTTTAGTGTGAATCAGGATCACCTTAGGGGCCTGTTACAACAGCTCGCTGGGCCCCATGCCCCACATTTTCTCGTTCAGTAGGTCTGTGGTGGGGCCCCAGACCTGCATTTATAACAAGTTCCCAGGTGATGCTGCTGATGCTGTCTGGGTACCCACTCTCTGAGAACCACGGATAAAAGACACAGTAAAATCATAAACAGAAAGAGTGAGATTAGGGCTAGGTCCAAAATTTACAAAATTGAGCAAGACGAGCGACTATTTATATAAACTGATCATATGCAGAGCAACAGAAGAGATTTGTTTTTAAATGAAGGGGTGTGCGCACTTTCCCATGTTCCCACTGAGAAAGCAGCACAAGCAGGGACACATCCTACTCTTATTAACATTTCCAAAGACACAAATCATTTAGCTTGAATTTAGATTATAATGTTGGCATTTTTTTTAATGAGGACATTTAAAAGACATTCCAGAATGAAAGTGAAGCTCAAGTACCCAAGTTGGGCATAAGTTTCTTCAGGAGGAAAGGCTGTTTTGTAATGAAAAATTTCCCTACATGGCAAAGCAAATGCAACATATGGTTGCACAGAGCTGTCTCATTTTTCATCTCCTGATTCCTGTGAGCCTTTCCGCTGGCTACATTTATTCCTTAGTTGTCAGCAGCATTTTGTCCCTAATCTATTATCTCATAAATGTTTAAGCTGTCTTCAAAGGGAGGGTTGATGAACTTAAAAATTTGAAATATATTTCCAAAGTTTCAAGAAAGTACTTTAAGTCTTGCAGCATAGTCTAAATGCATAGAATGTTCTTGAGGGAAAGAATGACTCTATGTGTATGTTGGTATGTGCATAAATATGATTCTTGTATCACTACCGTGAACTTTATGGAAAAAATAAAAGAATCAATATCAAAGTTGTCAAATGTAAAATGGCTCTTCAATTTCATTAGAGCTTCATAAACATGTAAATATGTAAGTATTCATACATATAAAAATATAGCATTTTTATACTACACATATGATTGTATTAGGAACAAATAAAGCATGATCATGTATTCTGATTTTCCTAGGTTTGGGTCAGTCTTTCAATGTATTTCAAGTCCCCAAAAACCTTTTGGGCTATGGCATTCTAAGCATAACTATATGACTGGATGATGGATCTTCTTAAAACTGAGTCACATACAAATACTCTTCAAAAAGAATGCAAAGTTAAAATAGCACTAGCATTTTTTATCTTTTCACTCCTTACTTACCTCGTGAATCGAATTGAAGAGACTCCAATCAAAGTTCATTAATTCCAGAGCAAGATCCCAAGTGTTCATTCCCAAAATCCTTATTGACCTTTGCTGTGATTCCTCATTTTCTGCAAATGGGTTCTAAACCGACAGACAGAAGCAAAAGGATCCTCAGTAATTCCCAAATGTTTGGCGCTGAACTGGCTGGCCACAGAAAGCCACTAGAAGCCCAGATTAGGAAAGTAATCTTGTCTGAGTGCACTTAATATTTTCCCTGGTCTGTTCATCTTTGGTGAGTTACAACCAATTTGGGAAACAGCCTTGGAAATGGTAGAATGTGATCAATGATACTTCACTGAGTTAGCCTGCCCCTCCCCCCCAGACACACACACACACACACGTGCGCGCGCGCACGCACACACACACGCCCGCGCACACATGCACGCATCCACAAATCTGATTATAAAACACTGCCCCAGCAGACAGCGTAATGAAAGCGAAAGCCCTGAAATCACTTTGGCTTCTGGTAAGAATTAATGTGCCAGCAGGTTAGTATAAAAACAAACAAAAGAAATGTCATGGTGCAGTTCAATAAAGACAGACATGGCTTTTGCAGGAAATACGTTTAACAAGCCTCATCCCAGACATACATTTACAAATTTTATTAAAATGCCTGTGGAAAGTGAAAAAAATTTAAACAAGAAATAAAAAATAAAAGTCACTTCATTTATACCCCAGAGTGGATGATTATTTTAAGTATCTGTGGCTTTACCTACACAAATAGGTATGCGTCTGGTAATAGTATTTCCTTAAAATCTGGCATGGACTTACTAAATGTCACCAAAACTTTAGATATTTTGTCACTGTTAAATTTATTAAAAATTATTTGGCATTTAAAAAAAAAAATTGATATTTTCTAATTAAAGTACAAATTCTCCAGGGGCATCTGGCTGGTTTAGTCAGTAAAGCACATGATATTGGGGTTGTGAGTTTGAGCCCCATGTTGGGCTTAGAGTTTATTTAAAAAAATAAATAAAATTCTCCCATTGAGGGGTTGGATTTGAGTAGTTAATGATGTTAAAATTATTAATGACTTGGAAGAAAAGATGGGACTTTGCAAAAATAAATGACATGCCAGGATGAAGAGAATATTTCAGGTTCCGAATATTAATTCCTATTTTAAAACTGCAAAATTATTTGCATTTTACAAGTTTTATTGTTATGAAAAGGTTTCCTAATTTGAAGGAAAAAAAAAAACGATAAAAGGCCTCCCCAAAGCTTCTCCACAGACTTGATTCTTTTCAGTGCAGGTCAAGGTACAAATTGTCCCTATAGCCCAGAGTGGGACACAGGGGGGAGCTCAATGAGGGTGGACTGAAAGAACGCGTGTGCAAATACTGAGTAGGGGAAAGCCCACGTTTCTCATGGCCTGATTAGTTTGGAACCAGATAGATGCCATGCTACACTGCAGGCGTTCAGAGGGAGAGCCAAGAGCTGGGAAGTAACATAAATCTCTGCATACTAATTTGGAGATGTAAGGATATTTTCACTTGGCTTTTTATCCCTCCTGCTTTTTCTCCCTAAATGCACCCTTTGCCCTGGTACTGCCCTCTGGTTGTCCAAGGCTGTCTATGGCCCTTTCCAACAAACACTTCCTATTTCTCTAACCCATTCATTCCGGGCTCTAATTCCCGCCTTCTGAGAAGAGTAACTCATCTATATGTAAGTGGAGTGGGTGCTAGTGGTTCCACATGTTATCTATCCTGCCCTTAGAATATTCCATTTCAACTGAAATCTTTCGGAGTTAAAACACTGAAAGCTATGATTCCAACAGGGGAATCTCAGGCAGGATGCGGAGTTGGAAACGTTTGAGGGCAGGATGGCAACTGGCTTCTCTGGGAACATACTTCAGAGCACCCATTTATTCCACTAGGACATTGCTTAGGCCTGCCTTCTACTCTTCCGAAGCTGGCCCCAGATGGTCGTAGGAGAGCTCTGGGCGTGCATACCAGGGAACTGCCAAGAAGTCTATGGGTACTACGAGGAAGGAGGGCATGGAAGACAAGAGTGTGAGTTTCCACCATCATCCACAAGCTCCGCAGAAGCCAGAGGGTAGATCGTCCTCCTCCATAGGGAGGGTTAAAGTCAAGCCAGTCTCACTGTTTACTCAAGGATGCTGTGCATCCTGTTCATCATGGTTCCCTGATGGAATTACATCATGCACAGACATGGGACCTGTGACCTGCTGAAGGACACTCCGAAGCAGAAAGGCCCAGTAAGACAAAAGTTTCCCTCTGCTTTGCTCCCTCATCACATACAAATGAAAGGTATGTTAGAGCTTCAGAGGCAAATATTGTCCTGGAGTCCTAGCACTTTCCCTTACTTGGCTGCAGGAAGCTAGAGTAAGGGACTCTGCCTCTCTGAACTTCACAGGGTTACTGGGAATATTAAATGAGATACTGTATGTAAACTACCCAGCACCTAACTGTCTGGTAGTAAGTGCCAAAAATGACAATGATTAGGGGCGCCTGGGTGGCTCAGATGGTTAAGCGTCTGCCTTCGGCTCGGGTCATGATCCCGGGGTCCTGGGATCGAGTCCCGCGTCGGGCTCCCTGCTCCTTGGGAGCCTGCTTCTCCCTCTGCTTCTCTCTCTCTCTCTCCCCCCCTCTCTCTCCCTCTGCCTCTCATGAATAAATAAAATAAAATCTTTAAAAAAAAAAAAAAAGACTCTCTCTCCCCTGTCCCTCTGCCCTCCCCCGCCCTCTCTAAAAAAAAAAAAAAATGACAATGATTAGTATTCTGGTAGGTTGATACTTGTAGATAATTTTACATAAAATATTTTTATTATAAGCAGTTTTGGCTAACCCATGTGGTATACACATTCCTCAATTATAAATACAACAGGAGTCGCCTAGAAAGAACCATCCCAGTCAGGGATGGCTCTGTGGAATAGACTAGGACCGTGTCTCTAGATGATAATATCACCATCTGGCAGAGCCTGCTTTTTATGGGTGATGGGTCTGAGGCCTGATCCTACTATGCAGAAAGCAGTCACAAGGCTGAGGTTTTTAGGAAAGTAAGAATGACAAATCATCTGCTCAGGTGTAAATGTTCTTACATTCGAAATGAAAATAACTTACAGCATGGGTTCTACATTTCTTCCAACTCTTACTCCTCACCAGCATCCCATGTACCATTGTTATGAGCCTATCTTACAGGGGAAGGCTGATAATTGACCCTTTCTTCCAGGGAATGGTACACTCGAAGTGTGCCAAATAGGCCGAAACAATACAGAGTCTCTTTCCCCCTAAATTTGCACAGGGTACATTTCTCAGCCTGATCTCCTCATATCCACCAAAAAAGAAGGAAGGTTATTAAGATTAATGGGGGGGGGGGTCACTTCTCTCATATGCCTTGTTTCAGAGGCCCAGAGGGAAGCAGGGTTTGACTCAGGAAAGGCTCAGGATTCCTCAAGGTGTACCTGTCTTTGATTTGCAAAGGTGGTGTTGTTTGCCAAGTATATTACTGGCCAGAGGAGAAAGTAGTTCAATGTGTTTCTCTTTCATTATAAAACATACAAAAATACAACTTTAGTCTGCTGTTTGTGTTTCAAATAAAGGCTAAAAGTCCTTACCAAAGTGTCAGCTAGGTCTTTTCGGTAGACATATATCCGACCTGACGCTTCAAGGGATTTGGAGATGGCCAAGTCATTTGGCTGAAGTTCATGCTTTTCTTTATTTAAAAAAAGAAAAAAAAAAGAGTAATTAGAAACACAAGAACAGTGGTAGGCATACACAGTATACCTAAAGAGTGAGAATTGCCGAAGAAAAATATTTAAAAGTACATAGAATGCAGATTTAATTCAGTTCCACATACTGTGTTCAATGGCACCAATGGGACCATGGGCATCACTGCTCAATATCCATAAAGTGGAAGCCTTTTGCAATTCCTTCTTATAATATTTAGTCATTTTTTTAGAACACAGTTTAGGAAAGAAAGTAAAATTCACTCATAATCCCATCACTCGGGGATGCCTGGGTGGCTCAGTTGGTTAAGCGTCTGCCTTCGGCTCAGGTCATGATCCCAGGGTCCTGGGATCAAGCCCCATGTCGGGCTCCTTGCTCAGTGGGGAGCCTGCTTCTCCCTCTGCCTGCTGCTCCCCCTACTTGCGTTCTCTCTCTCTCTTTCTCTCACTCTCTCTATCACTCTCATTCTCTGTCAAATAAATAAATAAATAAAGTCTTTTTAAAAAAATAATAATCTCATCACTCTAAGATAACCATAGGATGGTAATGTTGGTAACATTTGGGTATGTTTTTGTTCTGATCTTGATGTAAATGTGTATAAACAACATCCATGCATATATATAATTGCAATTATTTACACATATGCATTCATAATTAGTATGGGTACATACGTATACATTTGCAGTTATTCCATATATGGTTTTATATTCTGATTTTATTAAGCACTTGTCCACTTGTCAAAATTAATTATGTATGTCATGTTTAATTGGTTATATAATGGTCCATTATACCATCATGTAATCTTTCCTCTATTATTGACCAATTTAATAGTTTCCAATGTTTTTGTCATATCAATTAGATGGCAAGATATATATAAATACTAGCACGGGGTCTGGCACATAAGAGGGGCTTGATAAATGGGATCTATTATTATAGCAGCCATAATATATACTGCTGAAGTCAGCAACCTTATGCATAAATCGTTGGCTGCTCATAGATGATTTTTAAAAATAGATTCCCAGAAATGGAATTACTAGGTCAAAGGGGAATGAATATTTTTTGAAGTTTTTGATACAAGCTGCCAAATTGCTTTCAAATTCTTACACTGACCAATACTGATCATTCCTTGTGGTAAGTTTGCTATTTAGCTAAAACCAAAAATAGATTCTCCATTTATTTTACATTTCTTGACTACTGGAAAAGCCAAGTATTTTTCATGTATTCTTCTCTTTCCCTTATTACAAATTATTCCTGTCCTTCAGCCATTTTTCTACCATCAGTGGAGCTCTCTTATAACACAATAGCCTTCTTTGTAGAAAAATGTCCTCCTCTTTAACTACAAATTACAGATGGGAATTGACTAAATTAATCCTCAAGTTTATTGCACTGTAACATAATCAGCTTCTAAGTCAGCCTTTTAGTTACCCAGCATGGTTGGGGAATACTATATTCCATGTATCTTTTTCTAGATAACTTAATCAGTTCAAAGGCCAAATTTTGTTTTGAACATTTCTGCTTAATCCTGAGTACACAAATGATAATCCAATATATTCTTTATGGCTCAGCATTATAAAGATCAATAGCACTTTCATGTCAGGCCATTGACGTGTGTGGTAAATGGTCCCACATGGCTGGGCTCTGAAGTTCTTCCATCTCTCCTCCCTCTTTCTCTAGCTTCAATTTCTTGCAGCCCTGTGTGTGCCTATGTCCACCTTACATCGGAATTTATGAGAGCCATTCTGCCCTTGCTACAGATTAAAATGCCATGGCTTTCTGACAGTAACTTTTCCATTTTCTGGGAAATATTTTTTTTCTTATTCTCAGGTTTGTCACTACACTCTAAAAGATAAACGCTCATAGAATTTTAAGCTCTGAAAAACTAGGCAGGTAGGTTTCTGTTACTACATACATTATACCTACTCAGGGTATAAAACAGCTAGAAACCTACCGAAAGCCATGAGGATAATAGCCTCAGTCCTTTCAGAAAAATCCACAAAACCTACAACATTTGCAACATTTTCAAACTTTTTTTGACAAAAAGAAAATAAGAGTAGATCTCACTGTCATTTCATTTTGAAGTAGTATCTAAAACTTTACTGAAAATTAGGTAATAGAGCAAGGAATACATTAAACACTGTTTTTCTCCTTCTTTTTCTTCATAAAGCATTATTGTTTGGAGGATATTAAGCTATGGGCAGAAAGGTTCTTAACAGACCAAAGTACTAATTGATGGGAAATGATGGCACATTTCCAAATCTGTGGGATAATTCAAGAGATAAGCCGGTATTTCTAGAGAAGATTAGCAATGAGTCTATACACATTACAACGACATTGGCCTCCCTGATGAATCTAATTTAATAGAGTGTAAAAATGGTATTTCATGGTCATCAAATAGATATTGGGTAGTAAAAGAGTTACTCATTACTTTCCAGATTCATGTGTGGCCCTGGGCTGACTCTGAGTCAGCCCCAAGGGAGAGGGGTCTCAGTCATGCTACCAAGTTCACTCAGGGTCCTTCCTCCTCCAGAATGGGGACCCGATGACTACTTTCTGTAATGGTACTGTCTTGAGAGGCAAATGTTGGTTTTGATGAAGCGTAATACTGTTTAGAATCATTTAATATTTTTGGCCACTCAAAATTAAAATATAATATGCATTTATCTTATCTATCTGGAATGTCTGAAATATTTTATTAAAAATTCAACAGTCTCTGATTAAAATTCATGTAGCCCAGATGTTTCTCCCACTTTTGCTCTTTTTCTCTAGATAATGTTTTGATGGGATGCACAATTAGGGCCCCGTGAGAGGGAGGAGAGACTCTCATTAGGCCCAGGGAGAAGGGCTATACGCTTTGCTTATATAATCCACTAGCTTATTGGACCATTTACCTGCTTCTGAGTAACAAAGCAATAGAAGATTCTGTCACAGAAATGCTTTAACACCAAGTTAAATTCTGATCTTCTCCTCCTTCCCCTAGCATGATAACAAAGGATAAACAGGAACGCCTGATATCGGCTCCCCGCCTCCTTCTCACCCCGTCTCTGCTTGATTAGTTCACACAGTACTCCCATTTTTCAACTACTGATGCTAAGTCACTTTCTTTGTATTTTTCTCAGGGTTAATGAGATATTAAATAAAGACTGTAAGCCAAAAAGGAGGCCAGCAACATTGAGATCTGACAGGCCCCAGTGAAAACGAAGGGGTCTGTTCAGGTCACATAGATCAATAGTGTCAGCTTGTAATCTGTGTGATCTTATTCAAAACAGACAATAAACCATTCTCCAAGGATAAATAAGGCCCAGCAGAAGGAAAAGCTTTAACCAGACCTCACTCCCCACGTCCACCTGAACGAACACTGCCTGCGAGCTTTCAGCTTATTGGAGTTTTTATTTCCTTCAACGGGGAGTCTTTTTAAGTATTAAACTGTCAGCCAGCAATATGACTAGTTCAAGGGCTGTCTTTCTTTTTCCTTCCTCAAGTAATTTCATCCTTTAGCAATTTCCCAAGTTAATTTAAATATGAAAATAGAAGGCTTATCTAGAGTATAAAATATGAAAAGCTTTATAATATATTTCAAAACACTGGCATGGCCCTTTATTCAGTTCTTGGGGAGGAAATTCAGGATCCAACAGTATCCAGCTGTTGTCATGGAAACGCCTCTGCTAGGCAGCTTCTTATTGTTACTGTGGTCATCCAGCTGCGGACCCAGAAGGGACAAGCCGCACGTTTACCCTATAAAAATGTCGACTCTCCTCCTTTCAGGGCGATCCAGAGAAAGATTAATACTCCAGGACAGAAAACAGTTTACCCCCAGAGAATGTGACGGCCACCAGAGCCAGATCCTCTTCCGCATGTTGGATCTTTTCTGCCACAACTTTCAGGATCTCATGCGCTGTACTGGAAACTTTTGCCTTCACACTGACATAGGAGTGCTCCGTTATGTACACGTGACAAAGAACTGCACACAACACAATTGTTAGTCAACAGAGAACTGCAGTCATGAGGTACAGACTTTTTCAAATGAAGGCATCCACTTTCCTATTCTCTTCAGTATAAAACCTATACAACTTGATTTACATATTTATGTCTGCATATGGGTGCCTGAGGACATCCATATAGAAATTGGTCCTTGCCCACACAGGAGATACAGACGTTATAAAGCTGGTGAATGAGATGCTGAGGATTTAGGCTTCCCAAACTGTAATGAGAGACCCGTGTCATGAAAGCATGCGCTCACGGTGGAGATGGCCTGACCACGGCACAGGGGAAGGTGGGGGGGGGGGGCGGGTTACATGAACTGTAGCTCTGAGTCCCTTCTTTGAGAGTTACTGAGATTTCCCAAAGCACTATATTAAGATATCTCACTCATAAATTTTTATTTAACACTCTATTTCTGGACAGTCAGAGTTGGCTCAATCAGGAATACCACATTTTGCTATTAGAGCTCTCATAAGCTTACCTAAAAACTCTGCCAGTTTGCCATGCTGTGTTCAGGTGTCTTGATCATTTAATAGTGATGTCCCTGATCAAGATGGGGTGAGTGTGGTTTCCAAACACAAGTCATATTTCTAGCCCTTTAAGTTTCCTTTTTATTGTCTGCAGTGCAAATAATTATTACTAGGACATCATCACTATCAGGGTGACTTGGGGTCCTGGAAAAAATTTTCTTTATGACTTGAGAGTAGAAACTGTTTAATAGCAGTGGAGATAACTGATACATTATTTGTTTCTTAGAGCAGCTACTTTGAATTATAAAATACTAGCTTCTTTCAAAAAGATAACACACTTAGATATTCTTCTCTGCCCTATTGCAAAAAATAAAAAACAAAGGGGGAGTGCAGTTCCTAGAGAAACCCTACATGCAATTTAAATGGTCCCACAAAAAGAAACTCAGGGTGGTTCCCACAGAAAGGCAAATGAAGCAAAAGAAAAACTATGAGTTTACGTGTAGGAACCTCAAAGTAAACACGCCACCGGAAGGCACTGGCGATATTTTGATCTTGGCTTGGATTGGTATGTCACTAAAACAAGAGCATCTCACAAATAGTTGTTTTATATGTTGTCAACAGACACGTGAGAGGCAAAAAAAGCTTTTTTGCTTCCACAGAAAAATGAAATTTTGAGCAAGACAAGATCCAGTACACAAACCACTGAATATAAGGAAAGCTTACTTAATAAACTGATGAACAAAAAGAGGCCAGGGGTCTTGAAATACTTATAGTCTTTGTAATCAGCTTGGGAAATTATCCGATCAAACTATAAGACAAATCAGCCTGGAGGATCAGCAACTAAGGAATTCGGAGGTAAGATCATTTCTTTCCCAGCTTCCACAAACACGATGTAGCAGAAGAAGCATGTGTGTGACACTTTGTTGTTTAAGTATGTGAGAAGCTGAGCAGACATGAAACCTTCACACTTAGAATTTCAGCACAGACCGGGAGGTGGGCTCAAAGAGAATTCTCCTAGTCACAAGAGCGTGAATGTTTCCATTGTTGTGTTTCCCCAGGCTCTGCACTTGACTCAACCTTTAAGCAAAGAGGAGAAAACCATTTCCTGTTCTGTTACAAAGCAGTAACATAGAAGGCAGCACCTTCAGGGGGCTTAAGGGTGTCCCCCGGTACTGAGCGAGCAGCCGTCCGCAGAGTGGGTCCCGAGCTCTGTCACCGGGGAGCAGTGGGGAGTGCTGACCAAGTGCAGGCGGACTGGGCCTGTGGCACTGCTGGTGGGAAAAGCCTTGCCTTGCGGGGGATTTCAGCTGCACTCTCTTCCTTCCACTCTTCTCACCAAGAGTCTCCTCTACATCTCAGGGACTGACCCCACCAAAGCCCTGCATGTTGGCTTTAGTGGACTTTCCAGTCAGTCCCAGGCAATGGGCTGACAGATCAAGGGAGAAAGCAGCCAAGAGGTACAGGTGGTACCTACCAGGCAATTCTGCACCTCTCCCTAAGAAAGTAAAGAGGCTCTTTGAAGTCTTCTTTCCTTCCTTCCAAATTAAAAACGTCCTTGGTCCCTGAGACACTGGTGTATGAGCAAGAAAATTGCAATACTCAAAGCAAGAAAATAAAGACCATCATATTGGGTGCGAACATGCTCGTCACAGGGGTGTGACGGCTGGAAACTCTCCAAGGCAGGCTGATGTGTTAATGCTGGAGAATGAGGGTGATTAACCGCTACTCCACCTACCCCAAACCCTCGTTAAAATCATACTCACTTTCCTCTGTTTCAGTCATAGTTCCTCTATGCTGGAGCCAGTTCTCCTTAAGACTGAATTGGTGGAAAAGGGCTTTATTCTGTGAGAAGCGAGAAAGAGAACAATGAATGAATGCATTCCTGTCCTTTGGAAAACCACAGCTGTTTACAACATGTTCCAAAAGAGCTAGCCAATTTTCTTTCTTTTTTTTTAAGTATGAAATCCACCCATCCAATTTTAGAGAAATAAATAGGGAGTTGCCTCTATTAATGCATGTGGAAGTAAAGATTGTGAGCAACATAACAGACCTCGGCCAAAGCCAGTAGCAGGCAAAAAGCTCCTATAATTATTCCCTGCAACATGCTGGAGAGTATTGGCATGATTTTGAACTCTGGCTACTACAAACATCCACAGATTCTCCTCTAGAGAGAGACATCCCAACATTAACCACGTTTTTGGATAAAGCAACTTTGAGACAGTTGCATACTTCTGCTGTAGCACAATGACTTAAGGGAAATAAGTACATTATTCATTATGATTATCCACCCGATAGATCAGCTTCTACGAGACTTGTGCCTGACATCTCATTTTGCATTTTCCCTTCAAGGTGAATAGGAAACACACTCCTTCTTTCTCTTTTTGTCGGGTTGAAAAGTACTTCCTCACCCTTGCCAGTCAAGATTCTTGCCTGCATTTTTTTTCTTTTTTTTGCACCAATGTTTCCAATTCAAATTTAGATCACTCTGGGAACACTGGGGAAACTCTGAGATTCCAAAAATATACAGAATGTCCAGTCAAGGGCACATGGCTAGCACCCAATCTGGATCTATAGCGGCACAGGCAAAGTGAAGTGAAGCAGCAAAGTGCACGTAAGCCACAGCCCCAGGCTTCCCTGCCTGCCCCAGGCTGGCTTGGGGCAGGATTCATTTTAATTATGAAGAAATGCCAACTGAGGCAAAGCAAGGTGTCCAAACTTGATGGCCCCATTTCGGATAGAGCAAGGTCTGCCTCACCTTCCTTTGTGGTGAATATTCATCCACAGTGCTGAAAGGAAAAGGAGAAGAAGTCAGTCTTTACCCCACACCTAGAATAATGCAGTGACTGTTACAGAAGAAGTCAGTCTTTACCCCCCACCTAGAATAATGCAGTGACTGTCACAGAAGAAGTCAGTCCTTACCCCACACCTAGAATAATGCAGTGACTGTCACAGAAGACTAATTTTCAGGTACTGGGCAGAGGTTTCTGCTTTTCAGAAAGATAAAACCTAGTATTCATGAGGTCACTATGTATAACACCCTTGACATTGGGCTCTGGGTTTCTACTGTATAAGGAAGAAAAGATGCTATCTCCTCAACAAGTATATTTTACTTCCTATGCACAGAAAGTGAATGCTGAAGGAAGAACTGGATTTATTCGGTCCACAGAAACTCTAAGTTTTCTCATATACTGGTAGATTTTGGGTGAAATTATTGTTATTCAGGTGGTTAAGTTAGCTAAGGCACATCTTTTCCAGAACGTTTCCATGGTGGTGGAAGTAGGGGACGTTCTGTAGGTCCCCAGCTCAAATCTTTTTCTAGAGTCTAGAGATATCTCATAATCTTTTACCAAAGAGGCAAGAGTCATATCTTATGTCATTTTCTTATTTTAACCTATTATTTCCCATTTTATGTAAGTTTTTTTAATGGGATGTATGAAGTTCCATTAATGTACTGAATGCATTTAAATGTATCAAACCATGAATTAAAGTTTCCCAAGGGTAACCAGGCCTGCCTTACAGCAGAGACCAACCTCCATGTGGGGGATTATTTTGATGTAAAAGTTGTCTCTCTTTTTCTTTCCTGTTTCATTTATTTGTTCACATTTTCATACTAGTCTTAGGTGCTGAGAACTTATTATGGTGTAGACCATGACAAAGGAGCATCACCCAAATTCCCAACATTTGTTTTTAACACTGTCCTAAACTGCGTCTCATTTCTGAATTTCTAACTGTGTGATTTTCATGATTGAGGACTAAAGCTGATACATGATTTGTTTGCGCCCTAAAATTAATTTATGTAGACATTTAATGTGCAATAGGATCTCTCTTTACTAAAATTAGGTCAGGTTTTAAGTCTCAAATTAGTCATCTGAAAGGCCTGAATTAACATTTTCTACAAGAACTGCCTCTGTGACTGCTGAAATCTTCATAGAAGTTTCTCACAACTTGACAACACATGCATTTCATGTTTACTAAGTAGAAAGTACACTGTAAATCAGAGAACAATTTTTCCTTTCAGATTAACTTTGCAGCTCTATCTGAAAACTGAATAATGACCTGATGTTTTCATTCACCAAAATTAATAAGGAGGGTTAGTGGTAAATCAGGTATTGGCAATCCGAAAGACGGATGACAGATACCTCGGGGATACTTACACATGCCAAAAGTCAGGGAATAAATGGTTTTCTTTAATCTTTCTAAATTGATAAATAAACCTCAGGGAATCCATAAAATGGAGCTTTAAAAATGCTTCATGACTTGCTGAAACCTATTTCTAAAACCGTTTTTTTTTCCTATTCCATTAGAGACAGCTATGAGCCCCCCAAATGACAAGTTAAATATTTACACTTTTAAAATTAAATAATAACTTATTAAAGAATTGTTTTTATGTATCCAGGTTGTTATGGCTCAGTTGGTTTCTACCTATCAGTGTTAAAAAAAAATAGCCAATATTATGCAGCCATCAAAAAAAAAAAAAATCTTGCCGTTTGTAACGACGTGGATGGAACTAGAGGGTATTACGCTAAGCGAAATAAGTCAATCAGAGAAAGACAATTATCATATGATCTCACTGATATGTGGAATTTGAAAAACAAGGCAGATGATCATGGGGGAAGGGAGGAAAAAATGAAACAAGATGAAACCAGAGAGGGAGACAAACCGTAAGAGACAATCTCAGGAAACAAACTGAGGGTTGCTGGAGTGGTAGGGGGTGGGAGGGATGGGGGGGTTGGGTGATGGACACTGGGGAGGGTATGTGCTATGGTGAGCGCTGTGAATTGTGCAAGACTGTTGAATCACAGACCTGTACCTCTGAAACACATAATACATTAAATGTTAATTAAAAAAATAAAAAATTTAAAAAATAAAAACATAAATGAAAAATCAGCATGAAAGTGGAAAAAAATTAAAAAAAATAGCCAATAAGGTTGATTTTGTGTTCATTCATTTTGATATAAAAACAAAATACACAATTCACTACTAGAAAAGCTAAGGAATCAAGGGATACCAGATTTGAAGGGTCCCAGATGAACTTTGTAAGACACTCAAATTCTATCACATTTGCTGTTTTCTTTTATTAACTGTAATATGGAAAATTAAATACTCACTGACGACGGTGCATTCCAAGTATTTTCTGAAATTCTTTCAACTCTTTTTCAAGTATTGGATATTCATATACATCATCCAGTACATTCCTGTATATGGTCTGAGGGGTGGGGGAGAAAGAAAAATGGCAGCTGAAAGGCCTATTTTGTAAGGATTAGGACTTACACAATGGTTAACCTGCTGAGGGAATAGGTGGAATGAGGGATCATACAGGAGGTTAAACCAGGTACCAGTGAGATCCTAAGTGGGATTCCACCTCTTAGTCTTTCACTCAACTGTGTGGCTCTCACAGCCTTCAGGGGCCATAAGTAGTCAACGCTAGAAACTTAGAGACACCTGGAAAGCTACTCAAGATTTTCATGCCTATTTTATGTTAAAAAAATAATATCCACATAGTCATTTGGAAAGGAAAAAAAAAAAACGAATGAATCCTATTACCTAGTTGTTTTGAAAGTAACATTAGTTTTTGGGATGCCTGGGTGGCTCAGTCAGTTAAGCATCTGCCTTGGGCTCAGGGCGTGGGATCGAGCCCCACGTCATGTTCCCTATTCAGCCAGGAGCCTGCTTCTTCTACCTCTGCTGCTCCCCTTGCTTTTGTTGTCTCTCTCTCTCAAATAAATAAATAAAATCTTAAAAAAAAGAAAATAACATTAGTTTAGGCACAGAGTGGTTAAACCAGTTTTTAACTGGATGTCTAAAGGACACCTGACTTTTGAAATCAAAGTGAATTCCTTCATGAAAGGCAAAATCAGTTTGCACACTTGTCTATTCTGAAATAGACCTGCTCCCAGCTCAAATTCCATTCTACCTTTTCTCTGTGTTAACCTGAATGGCTAATACGGTTTTGGTGGCCAAGGGAGTCCAACTGTCTACATATCGTCTCCAGAGAATCAGCTGTGTTCAAAAGGTATTGTAGCTATTAATGATTAGAAAAACCTATCAGTTTATCTAGGGGCGCCTGGGTGGCTCAGTCTGTTATGCATCCGACGCTTGATCTCAGTTCAGGTCTTGATCTCAGAGCTGTGAGTTCAAGCCTCATATTGGGCTCCTTGCTGGGCATGGAAGGAAGGAAGGAAGGAAGGAAGGAAGGAAAGAAAGAAAGAAAGAAAGAAAGAAAGAAAGAAAGAAAGAAAGAAAGAAAGAAAGAAAGAAAGAAAGATCAGTTTATCTAATTTCAAATGTAAATGTAGGTTAGTACCCATTTTGCAACTTACTCTTACTATTGCTTAAAATTCTCAAAATACATCACAGTCTGAAAACCTTTCATAATGTATGTCTTGTCAATATAGTTTTTAAATAATATTTTATCCAAATATTGTGTATATGGGACTGGTTAGTTCAAGCTCAGAATAAATCTCAACATATTGAATAGTGTCAAGTTTTCAGATATGTTTTATCTACCTTAATTATTTCATCTGTAATCAAAATTCCCATGAATTATATAAAATAACCTTAAATTAGCAAATGTAAACCTGGCTGCCTACTTTTTCATAATGAATTATTTTCAATTCAAAAAATTTCTATGTACAGAGTATCAGCCCTCAAAAATCAAAACAAATTATTATTTTCTTTAAGTCACAGCTTGAATATGACAAAAAAGTTGCATGACTGCCACCTACAAAAGAGATTTTTGAAGTACATAATTCAAAATCAAATCAGTCATTTGGCATCAAAGAATATCTCAAAATTTTACATTACCTTTAAGAACATTTTTGAATGTTCGTCTTCATGTAACCAGTCTTTGTAGAGAGCAATCCACTGGGACACAAGATGCAAGACCTTTCGTTTCCGACAAGGAACATCTGAGTTTTCTTCTTTGCCTTGATACTTCTTAGCAGAATAGGTGCAAATGGTTAAGAGAGAATATTGCATTGTTGGAAATCAAAATATGAAGAGATCCATTTATTCTTATTTTCACAAAACATGCTAAAGCATTTGCCAAAGAATCTGCAAGTACCTAAGCATGTGGGAAGAAAAGAATATTCGTAGCAAGAGCAAAAGGTGTGCACCAGAAAGAGCAAAAGTAAGTAAACCCAGGAAAATGATTTCCATGCGCCCGCTGGCAGGTCGTGAAGGTTAATGAGATGATTTGCATTGACAGCTGCTGACACAGTTCCACAGGCAGCACGGGTTGATGCCACCATGAAGAGATTCTAAACGGCCCACAAATTTCAAGGGTGGCTACAGCAGAGTTGCCCTCACTACATTAGGTAGATACTTTCCATAAAAATTACATCAGAACTAGGCCAGATATCCTTTGACCTTCAGAAATTCACAATTTATAAAAGCCGTCACTTCTCAATTAGCCCCCATTAGCACCGATTTCTGGAGTATAATTTGTGATATGATTTAAATGCCCACATCCAGGAATTTGCTTGGAAAAAAGGACTGGATAAACTTGTAAACATAATTTAAAAAGGACTGCTACTTTTCATTTTCATTGGAATAAAAAAAAGTAAAATAGGAGTAACCTAAATGCATCAAACACTGTGGATAGTTAACTAAATTATCACATATCCATTCATAGGCAATCTACAGACATAAAACTGACGGTCTAGTAGTGCATTTACAGACAGTGAACATTCACAATGTACTGTTGAGTAGGAAAGCAAGTAAGAAAATATGTTGGGATCATCCACTTCCATTTACTATGCTTATTTATAAGAAAAATGTCATCACCCAGAATGATATATATTGTAAGTTAACAGCGGCTAACTGTGCTGTTCAAATTACATAAAAATAACAACCTCAACAGCAATGTGCTTAAAGCCTTGGGAATGAGACAGAAGCTTGGCATTCTCCAAACCAACCTAGTGTTTTTGTTCCCCAAATTATTATTTCTGACTATCTTGAGCATACTGGAAAGTTACGTAGGAAAAGGACATGCTATGATACCAAAGACAGGTAGGCTTTGCAGTTGCTGGACAAGATTCTTCACTCTTTAATGCTGATATACAACTGCAAAATAGGTATATCTATGTCGGCCTTTGTAAATATTTTAAAACATATTTTAATCACTGTCTCCCCAACCTGCAAAAATACATTCAGGCCATTTGATTTTTTTTATTTCTACGTGAGAAATAAACTCAGGCAAACACACAAAGAATCAGTTAAAGCACCCATTTTTTCCTAGTTTTTCTCTTAAAAGACAAAATATAAAATTTTATAGCCTTAGTCTAAGACTCAAAACATCATCATATCCAAGTGAAGTTTTAGAGATTCTTCAGGGAAATTCTACAAGGCATTAAATTACTCAATAATAACCACAAATAATACTAGAATCCTATTTATTTATTTACTTTTACTTAGAGAGAGAGAGGGATGTGGAGAGGGGCAGAGGGAGAGAGAGAATCTTAAGAAGATTCCACGCCTAGCACGGAGCCCGACTCGGGGCTTGTCTCAGGACCCTAAGATCATGACCTGAGCCAAAATCAAGAGTTAAATGCTTAACTGACTGAGCCACCCAGGTGCGCCTATTTGGATCCTATTTAAAAACAATGGTTTGGGGGCTGGGAGGATGGGTTAACCTGGTGATGGGTATTAAAGAGGGCACGCTCTGCATGGAGCACTGGGTGTTGTGCACAAACAATGAATCATGGAACACTACATCAAAACTAATGACGTAATGTATGGTGATTAACATTAACAATAAAAAATTAAAAAAAACAATGGTTTGAAGGCATCTATTTGCTATGAAACAAACTGTATGGTTTAATAGATGGTAATATTTTTGGAAAAGCCATTAGCATTAATGTAGAATAAATTAGCTCAGAGTTATTTTTCTTAAAAACGCTGTTAAAGAAGGAGAACTTGAAAACCTTGTAATTATTGCAGAATTTCTTAGTAACACCCCCTTGGAAGCTGTGGAAGAAGTCTGGTTTTGAAATTCTCCAAATTCAAAATGAATAATGTTTCAAGATCAGTTTTATGAACTGGTTTGAAAAAGCTTCCCAAGATCTGTAGCTTTGCGTGGCCATGTGCACATAGCAAAGCACTAACAAGTAATCACGATTTCTAGTTTATATGTTAAGAGAAATTTTATTTCAGTTATGCCCTTTATGGAATTTTAAGGTATTCTTTTAAGCAGGAAAAGGCTATCAAGTAGGGCGGAAATGTAACAATTATTTAACAGGAAAAGAATATTACCAAGGCCATTACTGTTAGGGCTCAATAAAACTCAGGTATATGCCAAAAAAAAAAAAAAAATTTCCATCTTCCTAAAAATGTTCACCTGGCTCTAGTGGAATCTTCAGTTTGGCTTGATAACTACCTGACAGTTAAGAGGCTTCTTAAATGCTTCTCAAGCACCTTCCTTGCACATTGTGAGTCAAGAAGCCCGAATGGAGACTCTGAGTAAGTTTATTTGGCTTGGCTTTCTGGCCTTTCATCTGTTGCATCACTTCTAGCTCATGTATCAAATCGTAAAGCTTCCTTAACTGGTCATTCACCTTCTCATCACATCTGTCATTCTGACCAAGCAAGTCTTCACAAAGCTTCTGAAAGCTGACAGTTGCTTAGGGGGTAGCTTTGACCTCCCATGTGGGGGACAGCTCAACTGGCCTCGGGACACTTGCAGAGAAAAATGGTTTCATGTACGTACGTTTTCCTGCCCAAGTCCCCTGGCACTAACCGCCTGATTGTCTTACAAGTTCACTTATTGCCCGTCCAACTCAACCTCTTGACTCTGGCTTTTACCCAGTGGACCAAACTTACCTCCAGATTTCTCAAGTCTTGAGACCTACGCTTGAAGAAAACCTAATACAAACGGTACAATTTATCCACAGCCCAGAAAGTGAAAACAGCAGACCTGCCTTCCAGTTCCCCCTGTCTATTCTGTTTCATTTCATCTTTTACCTCGGATATCATTACATTAATATTTAACATATCCACACTCTACAGAGGGGCTGAGTAAATTAAGAAAGGCAGTTAATTCCTAATGCGAGACATCTGTCTGAGAGGAAGCCGACACAGCATCCTGAAGTTAATGAAGGATATTGCCTCAACAGCGCCTGGCACAAGTCATCAGTTGTCATGAAGACAGTGTACGTGAGAAGGAAATCATCAAGGAGAGTCTCTGCGAAGAAAGAAAAACAAACACAAGGTAAGCACACCAGTGACAAGAAGGCAACTGCTTATCCAGGCTCTCAAACAGAAATATGATAAATGGTGGTGGGTGTGGGAGGGGTTAGGATAGGAGAATTTTAGCCACAAAACACATTATTTGTTGAAGTTAAGATTTTTTAAACTCCTTACACAGAATACCTCAAGCAATGGGATTTTTTTGTCGCAAGGCTCTCTAAACATACAACTTTTGTCATCTTTCTCACTCCTTAAAACATCATTTATTTTTGTGGGTAAAGATGTTATGGAAAACCAATGCATAAATAATGTCCTTTTAAAGATAAATTTTATAGTATTTCTGGGGTATATGCTCCAGTCCTACAGGGAATGAAGCCTGCATGTTCTAATAAATCAAGGCTTTCTATAGCCATTTACCTAAGTCTAGGGCAAGAACAATGGATAATAAAACTTAGAGGACACATAACAGGTTCTGAGGCCATTCATGTTTCTCTCTCAAATGCATCTGTAAGAAGTTGCAAAAGTGGTGGGTGATGTTACTGCTGTGGAGACAGAGCTAAGTCCCGTTTAATACGGGAGCAGGTATAACATATCACAATATACTCCTTCCCAATCCCTTCCCTACATCCTCAACTGACAAAAACAGCTTTGATTTTTATTGCTTCTTGGCCTTGTGTGTTTTTGGAAAAGTGCAGCTTACATGTAATATGGAGCAGCTAAACAGGTAAACTCTGACCCTGCAATACAATTTCCAAACTGATAGAAAAAATTACATGCAGAATGCAAAGTAGAGCTCTTGCCATAATAGTCTTTATCCAACCTCCTGAACTTAAAATTCACTTTACTATTATGATTTCATTTTCATGTCTTTTACATCCAGACATCAAATTTCCAGTAATTTGAAATAGTAATTAATCACTTGTAAGAATAATGAGCTTGTACACGCAATAGCATTTATGTTCTCCAAGAGCTATACTAAATGTGTAAGTAGAAAGAATTGCCCTGTATAGAGCTCTGCATGTCTATGTTGAAGACTGGAAAAATTCCAGAATTTATAGAAATAACCAATAATGTTTACTATAAAAACCGATCAATGCAAAACAAGGCTATGTTTATGAACACAAAACTCTGATATAAAGAGGTAGTGAACATCTCCATTCCTTATCAGCTGTCCCCGCTTAATTAATTCTGTTTTGTTTGATTGTAGAACATCAAGATAATCCCAATTTACACCAATAAGTAGTTGCAAATGGTCATGTTAAAAAAAAAAAAAACCTGCTTTCTAATTGCAAATGCCCTTAAGTGAAATGAACCAGAGATGCTAATGAAGAGTATTAAGAAAGGTTTTTTTTCAAAGGTATTTATTTATGCTAAGTAACAGTATTCCTTATTAAAAAAATAAGTTTGACAAATGGCACCTATTTGTAAAATAAGCCTACACTTATAATTTAATCACACCACAATATATTAACAGTCACTGCTCCAGCTTACTGTTACTTGTAAAAGTAAGTTCTCAAACAGATGTATCTGGGCCTTGCTAGGCATAAACTAAGACCTATCCATTCTAAGTGTGTAAAGGGAAAGTAGAGCCTGGTATAGAGTTCTACAGCTCCATGCTGAAGATAACCGTGGGCATGTGGCCGGTGGGACAATTTATTGTGAGAAAACACGCACAGCCTGCACTCCCAGAAGGCCCGGGAGCCCTCTCCTAGAGGCCCTGTTTACAAAAGTTACTGGCAAGCTGTGACCTCCAACATAATTTCCAAATTCACAGGAAAGATTCCATGCAGTTTCAAATATCCATCTGCCTGAAAAGGCAGGAGAACCTGTATTCTAAGATCTGCCCCCAAAACTAGTTAAACCTAGGAGCAGAAGTTCATCACTTGGTTATCCTAATGAGAACCTTGAAATATACATTTTGAAGCTTTGTGTGTCCTTCATCACAGTTTTTAAAATAGTTTCAAGAAAAACCAAACAGTGGCATAATGTCTGAACCCCCAGGATATTTTGAAATACAACTTGAAAACTATCACTCTGGGACGCTACTGAACAGGGATGTTCACCGATTCTAACACTGCTCTGTACGGTTGATGAACATCCTCGAGTTCTCTGCTCTCATTAGAAATTGAGTTTTTTTGCATCCAATGTTAGATACAGGCAGCAAGAACCACAGAGTAGCCTAGAATCTATTTTAGGGGTCTCTGTGGGCTCTTACAGATCAGAGCTGGAGATATACAGAAGCCACTGGGCGAGAGCCCTGAGAACCTCATGCATTCAGCATTCAAAATGCTTGATGGGCCATAGGTTCAGCCCGTTTGGAATGTTCTTACACTTAGCTGATTTAAGGAGGTTGGAACTATTCTCTAATCAAAATTTACTCCATTAGCAACTGAGATGAAAAAGAATGCCATTAAACTTTGACATAACCAGTCATTCCATTCTGGAACAGCCTTGGATAATGAGCTGAGTGATTTTAAGAGTCCGGTTTATATGGTGGCAAAACCATTTGGCATTCAATTCAATTAATGAGCTCACATATGACAATATTTTGTTAAGGGCTTTGACCCAGAAATGCTTTTCCCTAAGCAACTACCATATTTAATATTCAACAGCATTTACCTAATTATCTCTTTGCCATAGAAATATTAATTAAAATAAAAACAACAAGGCTACATAAAAACATCTCCAGTTAAAATCCTACTGAACTGCTAAAAATCCTCATCAACAGAACAGATTCCCAATACCCTTGATTCAAATCTTTCCCTATTTAACTACCATATTGTTATGAAATTTTTCTCTATATAAAGAGCTTTCCCTTACTCTTTTCCAGCACTGGTATTTTTTTGCTGCGTATGAAAGTAATTGAATGATATAATCAAAATGACACACTTCAAATAAAAATGCATTTTATAATAGCCATGTATCAAAAAAGGCTGTCCCTTGGTATTCAGAGATATTTTTAGAACCACAATGGCTATATAAATGATCCCCTGAAGACTATTAGCCAACAATAGCCATTTAGAAAGACTAGCACATCCTCTAGCATCCACATTAAAACGCTATAATTATCTATTATATTATATAGTGCTTAATTAACAGTAATTTAAGACTTTAGGCAGAAAAGCACCTTTGTGTATAAAAGTATCTTTCGTTTAAACAAATTCATAGTTGCCATATACACTAACATTCTGAATAAAAAGATATATTCATTATGCTTTCTAACTCTGAATACCTAGGTATTAATAGACAGAAAACCTTTCCTTTGAAATTCTATTCATTAAATCAATCACTAAATCTAATCCCAAATTCCTGGCTCATCACTGACAAAAATATTCAGCCATCCTTTTGGGAATACCCCCCACTCCCCCAAATCAAAGAACATTTATGTTGTGGCTTTTTAAATATAGGACGTACTCTTGCAGTATAAAAGAAACATGCTGATAACAATCAAAACTGGAAAGCAAATATATTACAGTTTTAAGCACTATGTTCACTTAAATAAAATACATCAAGGTGTAGTCAAAATCTAAAGCTTTGATAGAAATGACTCTAAAATCCATGTCTACTATTTACTATAATGATGTTAATACAGGACTTTTCTCTCTCATCTGTTATTGTTTTAATTTTAAGGTATAAGAAAAGAATTGTCCATTTTCATTTGATTTTACTTGAATGTATTTTTTTATGCAGATATTAAAATATTTTCTCATTCTAAGTGTATCAAGCACTAAAAACTTCCATTTATTTCCGTAAAACACAAGTGTTTCTAGAGCATCCTAGAGTTGTGTCAGGTGGACTACTAATTGGTTTGGTACAGATCCTTTTTATAGGGTTCTGTTATGTAAATGTAATCAAATCAGAGGAATGGATCTAAATGTTTCAAAAAGGTCTAAGCTTAATGCTTTTTTTTTTTTTTTGGTGTAAGTGAATTGCCAAGAAAGCAAATGATAAGAATTTTAACAGACAACTGCCTATAGTCGCTATTTAAACTTAGTAATGTGAATATTCAGCATTTCTGTAGTGACTCATATTCCCTAAGTACTGTTAGCAGTTTTGTTTCACCTATATTTCTACTTCAGATGCAACGGAATTTAAGGCACTCTAAAGTAAGTTCTACTTAAACTTTATTTCGAGAAGCCAAGAAAAACTCCGTACTTGAAAGTTCTTGTTTCTGGTCCTGGAATATTACAACTTGCCACTATTTTTTGAGAAGCAGTGCCAAAATGTACCATGTAATTTGATTAAGCACAAATTAAAAAAAATTAACGTTCATGTCTGAATCACAGGTTAAAGTGCTATGCCGTCAGGAGCTATGTTTTTCTCAGTTTATTTTACATTTTCTGAAAGCAATATTCATGACCTTAAGTGCAATTGTTTACCCCAGCTTTTAAATTCACTCAATTCCACCACATTTTTACAATTCACCAGAGTATTGCTTAGCTATTCTAAAATGACCAAATCTTGAGATCTCATTTTATTTTTCCTTTTTGGCTACATAATAAATGCTTATTCATTGAATACTGTTTCTACATCAAATTTTAAAAGTCATCTCTTTCATGACAGGAGCTTACTACACACAGAGCTTAGGTGGCACTCTTCAAATAGTGCAATCTGCTTTTATTGTAACTTGAAAAGTTTGGTTTTGGAATCCCATCATTTCTTAGGAAAAAACGATTTGAATACAACAGGAATTATGTTCTGAACTATATTACATTCCACAGGCTGCCTTTTAAAAACGTCACTAGATGGAGCATGGACTAATAAACCCAGGGCTTGCCCATGTTCTCCACACCAAGGGTCATGTTTGCAAGTCACCCTTGGGCGGGGAGAGAGGTGACAGGCCCCCTGAGCTCCTGCTGTCCCAGCCCTCAGCTGCTCTCAGCATCTAGGCACACTTATAATTACAACCCATTTGTGGCTCATGCGTGTGTCTGTTAAACCTGCTGGGAAGCTTAGAAAACAGTGGGGAAACTACTAAGGGAATCAGAGAGCTGA